GCCAACAAGGTCTGCAATGGGTGTGCCATGCACTCTTTCAGGAGAAATATAAAGAAACTAAATTGCGCCTTCCCTATGAGAAGCAGCTTGTGACAATGGAGGCTAACACCAGAGGCAATAAGCCATGTAAGCTAGGTCAAAACAGAGCTAAGCCAAGTTAGTTAACAGGGGTGTCACTGGTTGCAAACCCATGATCTACAGTCAGTGCTGAGGGTTTTCAAAAAGAAAAATAATCTAAAGAGACCTTGGTTCTTGGGCAGACCTTGCTGGTGACACATCACTTTAGGGATGTCTAAGCAAGGAAGCCACCTATTTATTAGGCTCAAAGGGGACCACTTTGTAATAAAACTAAGATCACCTGAATTTATCAGCTGCTATCCAAAGATAAGCCACCCTGCAAGGCTCAGAATAATGGCTAACCTCTCAGACCAGAGCTGCACCCCTCCCCCCCAAATGTACATACCTCTGGTTTTGCCAGATCTTTGATCTCACTGCCTTTTGTCTGCTTTCTATTCCAGCTCACCCATATGTGATGGAACTTCTCCTGGACTTCTTGAAGAGTAACACCTTGCTTAAGGTATTCAATCTAGAAGTAGATTAAGCCTATTGAGACATTTGCACATCAGTTATTCTAGTTCCACGGTTTATGACATGCCTTCACCCCACAGAGTGGTATGCTCAATGCATCAAGAGTAGAAGGGTCTAGTTACATAGACCTCATTCATAGTTGTGTTAAGCCTCATTGTGCCACATTCTATACAGGTAGAATTGCAGGTGTTCCCTGCCCTGAAGGGCATCAGTTTTAAGAGATAGTGTAGTTCCTACCAGTCCCATGGTTTGATGAAGCTGGGAAAGAGCCTCTCTGATGCTCTGACTGGTATGTCTCATCTTGTTTAGGGAATAGCGGTAGGCACGTTGGCGAAGCTTGGTCGACAGGGAACCTAAACGCACGAAGTAGCTCCGACGCTCTTGTGGTTGTGCTGAAGACACTTCAGCCCCTTCCACAGATTCAGCAAGTTCAGCTAGAGGGAAGAAAGGTCAGGTTGTTCACCCTCTCAGATTGAGAGATTGGTAAAGGAGGAGTACAAGCCATACTGATCTGCTAAATCTTAAGCTCCCTTGTAACAAGCATTTGGCTTAGCACCTACCAAGTACCACAGAGGTAACTTCAGCCTTAAAAAACAAACAAACAAACAAAAACCCATTCGCCACACAGCCTACTTTGATAGTGAAACTGACTAATGAATAGTCATGTGTATTATTCCTTCTAGTACCACCCTGTCCCCACTTGTTGCTCAAATCATTTTTACATGCCCACCAACTAAAAGCAGAGACTGAGGGTTAAGATATGAAAAGGCTGTAGGATGAGCCTGCATTTGGCGACATAAGACTGAGAAGCCTAGAAAGAAGTTCGGCCCAAAGGGAGGATTACCCTAAACTTTTAGAGATAATAGACCTGTCATTCATGTGTTCTGACCTAGTTCCTCATCGGTCATGGGAAGATAGTGATCCAAGAGCTCTTCAGATTTCTCCAGCACTGCTTCCATTCCACTTATGGCCAATTGGCCCATTCTTGATTCCACAACTGTGCTCATGCTGTCAGTTACCACTGATTTGGTGCTCTTCATACTGTCCTGCACAGCCTCTTTGGTCATATCTACCATTCTGATCATGGTCTCCTTGACATCTGTCAGTCTGGAAGATGCCAACTCCTGTGCTTCAGATGTAACCTAGAGAAGAGTGATCAAGACATTGTCCAGTAATTCAGGGTGATAATACCCCATTGACCCAGAGATTGAGGTTGGGGGGAGGGGGATTACCACCTGCTCTGCCCCATAGGTCAAAAATCTTCAGGGGGAGAACTGCATCTTGCTGCTAAGCACCAGACCAGAGTTATGTTTAACCACTAGCTCCTGCCTCTTGACCACTTTTAGGATGGAGTGTTCCTCTGCTGAAGGAAGCCTCTCATTATTGGCACCCCTTTCATAAACACATAGCATTGTCATTGTCTAGGGAGAGGGTGGTGAAAGTTACCTCATCAGCAGTCTGTTGAAGGATTGGTAGATTATCCTCCACTTTGTCAGGTACTTCAGAAGCACACTCCTCTGCTGTTGTCACTATAGAAAAACCAGAGTTTAATTTCTTAATTGGTCAATGTTGCTACTGCCATATGTACAGAACCTGGCTCACAACTGTAATGAGATCTTCGGTTCTCCAATATGTTCACACAGCAATAGTTCTGGGTTGTAGGTGCTGCACATTTACAGTTACACCGATTCAAGACCTTCAGGAGGATTTTATTTCCCCCTTCCTTCCCCATGCAAGGTGGTTCACTCCCTCTCCCCCAAGTTAGGAGTTTTCTTTGGTAAAGATTTTCCATGAAAAATAGTGTCCCCTTCAATAGTTCATAGTTCCAGGTTTCCTCTCATGCATCTTAATTCAGTTGCCCAATCAAGAGTGTTATGACTGGCATCTGAATACTTTCTCCTCCTATCTATACTTACAGCAGAATTGTCTCTTGCCCAAGCATTCTAGGCATTACTTTCCAGGCTCCCTCTCCAAGTGGGAGGTTTTTATGTTCTGAATAAAGTGCAATGATCTCACTCCATAGTCTTACAGCTCTGAAGCTTTTTGATCAAATGTTTAACATCCCTCTGGAAGGCACCAAGAAGTTTTTGCAATGTCTTGGCTGCGATAAGTCCAACTAACTGTTCTCATGAAGGAAGCAAGTTAGGGAGTGGCTATTGCTGGTGAGCTATTGCCGGATGTTAAGACAAGTTTAACAGTTGTAATCCGTTTGCAGTGTTGTTGTAGCCATATTGGTCCAGAGATTAGACAAGGTGGGTGAGGTAATCTTTTGTTGGACCAACTTCTGGTGGTGACAGACTAGATTCTGAGCCTCTCTAGTTGCAGAATGAGGACATCTCAGTTTGCAATTAGGTACCTTTCAAAGGGTGTTGGTCCTTAAACGGAAAGAGCTTAGCACTGATCTCACTTCCTGGCTACAGTCAAGGAGGGTGCAGGTTCAGCAATAGCAATTAGTGTAAACAAAGCCCTTTCTTAGCCTCTAGCAGATGTTAGTTTACATGCATGGGCTACTGTATTATTCCTATATAGTCACACCACCCCCACTGCCAGCTTCTCCTCCAGTACTGAAGGCATACTGATCTTCATGGACCTGAGTTTTAGAGATGGAAGCTTCCTGAGACGGTGTCAAGATACTACTGTTGAGCAATCATACCATACTAACAGAAAGGTCTGCATATATGCTTTACTCACCCTCAGGTTCAAGTTTAGTTACAACCGGCTGTGCACTGCTAACTGCAACACTGGTTATGGACGTCACTCCCTTCTCTGCCATGTCACAGATGGACCTCACATAGGGATGGCTCTCCTTGGTGGAAGCGTAGGCAGTGGCAGCCAGATCACAGGCAGAGTTGACTAAAGGTAGGCTGGCCACCCTCCTCAAGACATTCTAGTGAGGCAAGGGACAGAACAGTGAGTCAGGAAGGCAATGTTCTATACTGGAGCTGAACCATTACTTTTTCAAGTGGTTATACCCTTGGATGTGTTAGCCCCCAATCAAAGGATTGTTTAACGGTCAAAAATCTGACGAGCTAAGAGGCCCAACAGCTGCTTCTGAAGTTAGAGTACTGGATCACAAGGTGAACTAAAGCAAGAAGCATTTTTAAATATTATAAACTATTTTGCAGCATCTGGAAGAGCAACTGCACAAGTCTCTAGACACTGAGGTGTACATAAGTGAAGCCTGCTACCAGATCACAGCCAGCCATCTTTTGTATTCACATGTTGAACCAGCAATGCTTAAGAGGGAGCACCTACCTGTTGCTCTTCTTCTCCATGCTCTGGGGATGCCATAGTTGTCTCTTTTCCATTAGAGGCCATGGTATAATCAGATATACCTGAAAAAGGCAAGAAGACAGGACTCAAGTTACAAGTTAAGTTTAAGGAAAAGTTACAGGACCCTAAAGACAAGAGTGGTGTTCTACTCCAAAGAGGGACTAGAAGAAATGGCAGGGCCCTCATCAAATTAACAAGGAACAAATATTTAGAGGAATAGTGAGCTAAACACATGGTCACTGCCTTTTTTTTTTTTTTTGGAATCCAGTGATATTGCAGTTCTACTACAGTTAAGGAGAAAGGAAGTAGGAGGATTCCTTCTCATGGCACAGAGTGGTTGGAAAACCTTCCATTTTTTGGGAGAGTCCCTTAAAGACATTAGGTGTCATTACTACTAATGACCATTTAATAGTTTTAACCACAGGAAAGGAAAGTTAAGAATGTGATCCTATCTCACCAGTTAAGACACTTAAGGCCAGTGAACATTAAATTCCCCAGACTCAGCTTCCCAACCCCTGTCCTACCCACAGCTTCTTAATACAGACATTTACACATCCAAACATTTCTTAGTAGCATAACTGCAAAGCTATGACCAAGGAATTGTATAAACAATGAAAAAAAGACTAAAAAGCCTCGCCAACAAATCCCACTCCTTCAAGTGCCAACCGCAAACCAACCCACTGACCTTTCTCAGTCCTTCAAATACTGCTTTACTCCACTCACAAAATGGTCAGATTTTATACACCTCTGGTGGTGTAATTGTGAAGGGAGGGAGTGAAATACTCAGGACTGACAGTTCAGGGAATCAGTGAAAAGAAGGCTTTGCTAACCAATAGGAGAATGCAAATCCTTTGGGGACTGCAAAGATTGGGAGTGAGTTATTCTCCAAATGTGATTCCAATTAACCCCACTGGGTCTTTGCTGTCATCCAGCTGAACTCACTTTGAGTCCACAGCCTGCCTAGAAACAGTTGCTAGTTAGGATGGGTAACATTTTCAAAAACACCTGTGTGACTTAAAAAATCATTGATTGTCATTGCCCTTTCCAATGGGAAAAGGGAGAGAAAAGTTTTTTTAAAAAAGTTAGAGAAAATGATAAAAAATTGAAACAGAACTTTTCATTTTGTTATGAAAAATCTAAAAAAAAAAACAGAAAGAAACCCAAACAAATAAAAAATCAGCCAAATATAGACCATCTCTGGTGGTAAGGTTGCAGATAGCAATGTGCCTGCTTCACCTGCATGTTGCCCATAGTTTCAAAGTAAAAACTGGCACACTGGAACAAGGAGTGGCATATTGAAGACAGGTAGTTTTTTCCAGTGGTTAGGATACTAGCCTAGGATTTGAGCTGGGTTCAATTTTAGGTTCTACCACAGACTTCCTGTGTGACCTTGTGCATGTCACTTAGCCTCTCGGTGCCTCAATTTCCCCTCTGTACAGTGGGGATAATATGGCTTCCGTGCTTCATAGAAGATTTATGAGGTGCTCAGATACTCTGGCAATCAGGGCTATATAAATACCTTAGATAGATAGTGAAGCATTTTGTTGGGGAACAAGAGTTAGGTAGGGTAACTGGAAGAACTTCCCTTCTCCACCTTCATCCCCCTTTCAGAAAAAAGGAAAAGTGTGCCACTTTTTCTTTCAGGGAAGGGTGGGAAAAAAGAGTGTTTATTCTTCTGTCACCCCCTTCATTGTTCTCCCTCAGAGTTTGAATTGGAATTGGATTGAATTGGAAAAAAAGTGGTGGTACTGTCCCAAGTCCTGCCCACAATCCACGCTCTGCCTATATGAGATGCTACTTTAGCAGATTGTGCAGGTGTACAAAACATGAGCACACATGCTCTGCTGGGTTCCCCTTGGGGCTTGGGTCCCTCTCTGTAAGGTTCAGCTACACCACTGAATATGACCAGATTAAGATGGAAGCACAATAACCACATGCCTGGAACCCAGTCATGTGATTATGTCAATCTCAGCTGTTATTTAAAAATAAATGTTTCTACTCCACATGGCTGCAAAGAAAAGCTTGAGATTATCCATTGAATAGAACTGAGACAGTGATCATAGAATACCACGGTTGGAAAGGACCTCAGGAGGTCATCTAATCCAACCCGCTGCTCAAAGCAGGACCCATCCCCAAATACATTTTTGCCCTAGATGACCCCCCTCAAGCATTGAATTTACAATCCTGGGTTTAGCAGGCCAATGCTCAAACCACTGAGCTATCCCTCCCCTGAAAGTGATGTCTGCCTGTGTCTACCCCCAGCCTCCTACAGAGGGAGACGCAGCATCCATATCAAGAGAGGTAACTCTTTACCCCGCAATTGGCCCTTAATGTTCTTGGTGTGTGCCCACCCACCTTCCCAGGACTTCGACAGGTAAATGCCTAGCTGGGCTCTGTGGGATTGGTGGCATCTGGTCTTTTAGCCCCAATGGTCAGATGTTGGCCATGGGAGTGTGAATAGTTCCCTAATGACATCCACTCTCACCATGAAAATGGGATGCCACCCCAGGTAGTTTATGCAGATCTGCAATCCACCCTATCTTTTCTTGCTTACTTTGATCAGCAGTGAAATAGTGAAAAATCTAGACATGTATATCACCATCACTTGGCATCGGAGTTACCCCACTTTGATGAATGGGGCAGTTCACACCTCTCTGAGCTCCTGTGTCAGCCTCTCTGCAGAGGCAGGCAGATGCCTGTGCACCCGTTTTTGCTTTTTTCATGTTTTCAAGGTTTTTTCGATAATCTATTGTCACATTATATTGATAGAGTTTAAAGATCCATTAGCACTTGAAGACCAGCCACTCCAGATAATGCAAGAAACACAGAAATGTAAGTCTGG